TGGTGGTCGCGTCGTCGGTCCTGGTCAGGTCGTTGGTCGGAGGGTGGTCGCTGTCGGAGGTGGTCGGTCGGAGGTGGTCGGTCATCGTGGTCGGTTGGTCGTCGGTCGTCTGGTTCGGTCGTCCGTTCCGTTTGGTCGTCGGTGGTCGGTCGTCTTAGTGGTCCGGTCGTCGGTCATCAACATCTTGGTCGCATTTGTCACGTCAAAGCGTGGGATTGAGTGCGCGTCGTCGCATTGCGTGAATGGTGAAAGCTGAATTCCGAATGAAAAATTCAGAAAGCGGAGAGCTGTCAATCGATGCGGGAGGCAGGAGGCGAGCGGGGAGCATTCGGCCCTCGAGCTCCCTTCGGCGGTAGCTCCCTTCGTCCGACTCTCGCCTCCTCATTTCTCTTCGTCTGGTTTATCTCTTCCTTTAGTTCGGTTGATCGTTTATTCTCTGTTATACCTTCGGGCTCTCTCTCTCTCTCTCTCTCTGCTTCTCTCTCTCTCTCTCTCTCTCCTCTCTCTCTCTCTCTCTCTCTCTTCTCCTCTCTCTCTCTCTCTCTCTCCTCTCTCTCTCTCTCTCTCTCTCTCTCTCTCTCTCTCTCTCTCCTCTCTCTCTCTCTCTCTCTTTCCTTTGTTTTTGTTTTTGTTTTTCCTCACTTTCCCTTCTGTACTTCGTTATTTTAACTTCTCTTCTTAGTTCTGCGATGCTTGTCTTAAGCTTTAAAATGTGTTAGTATCTGTGAACTTTATTCAGTACACACTTCATATGTGAGTGTGTTGTGTGTGCTGCGTTGTGCGTGTGTAGTGTGCTGCCAACACGTGTTGTTGTGTGCGTGTGTGAGTGTATGTGTGTGTATTAATGTGCTGTTTGTGTGTGTGTATGAAACGTTGTATTGAAATATTTACAAAACTTGGCATGCGGCACATATGTGTATACGGACATGAGAGTGTGAGAAAAGAAAAAAAAATCCTGTCTCCTAAAAATCATTTTTTTCTTCTTTTTTTTGAGGGGCGGGACCAAGAAAATAAAAGACAGACAGATAGAACGGCAGACAGACTCAGATAGACACATGAACAGAAACACAAGCAGCAAAATAGACAAGCACAAAAGGAAAACACAGACAAGCAGACAGACAAATGAACAGACAGACAGGTATAATATAAATAAGCTAACAGGCAGGCAAATGAATATACAGACAAGCTCAGCTATAAACAATCAAACAAACTAACATATAGGCAGAGAAACGAATAAACAAGACAAGCAAACAAACAAACAAACACACAAACATCCAGCGAAGAACAGGCTCCCCAAACAACGACCGAATGAAAGCCTTCCCTTGGCCCTGATCGCCAGCAACACCTTCACAAGTAATCGATAAGTCCCGCT